ATTTTATTTATTTTTTTTTTTTTAACATTTCCAGGTTGAGGGCAGAGTCGACGGCTTCATTGGTGGGCCCATCAGAGGTGGTTCTATTGGGTCCAGAGCCACAGCTTGAGACACTCTGGGTTGAAGGTAGGTGACCAACATCAGCAAGTACATTTAATGCCTTTGGAACGTCCGGTTTTCACCTAAAAGAAAAAAGTCCAGACTCTGCAACAGCAAAGGTTTCTTCTGCAACTTCACGTTGTCATACATTTTTATTTTTGAGCAAATATAATATTCCTCAATCTTCAAATCCAGTCAAAAACAAAAACGCGCATGTGATGCTTTCATATAGAAAAATGTCCACAGATGCAGGCAGGAAGGAAAAACAGCAAAAACTCTCATATAACCACAACTGGGAACTGTGGAACCACAAAAAATAATATTTCCCTAGAGTGCAGAGGCCAGAACCATATACAATTACCCAGGAAGCACTCTGCTTGTTTACAAGAGTTTCCCCTAGTAACCCAGTTATGATTTTGGTAGCCGGTGGCTTTCATTCGATTTTTCAGCAAAGATCTTTATGAGTTTCCTTCCCTCAGACTTGTTCTCTCTGAAGAAAGACAATCTGTCTCAGTGGATTTATTTTGACACAATACTTAATAAATCCTAATGACTGAAATAATGCAATTAATATCTGTTTAGGAGGCCAACGATCAGGATTGAACTGTGTTGAATGAATGGCAAACCAAAGAAAATATAATACAGCACGCATGTCTGTATGTATACATATACACATACAAAGCCATAATCTCTGCCTGCAGCCAGACGTGACCTCTTTTGACGTCCGTTGCTAACACCCTTCTCACAGCCCCCCCCTTCTCACGCCTCCCTCCTTTTTCCCATACCTCGCTGCTGGAAGGCAGTGTCCCGGTTTTCCGAGGCTGAGGCTTAATGTATAGCAAGCGAGCGGGGTGGGGTGAAACGAGGAGGAAGGGGGAGGGGGCAGGAAGAAAAGCAGTCTCTCACCCCCTCCCTCCCTCCCTCCCGCCCAGCCTGCCTCAGTCTGAGGGAAATCGGTTACATAACCGGGGCTGTGGAGGCATGTCTCTCCCCC